CCTGCTGTGACACTGAAAACTAAAATACATTTCTTGTTAATGTGTTAGTTAGTATAAAACTAACTCGTAATTCAAACAATTTATCTAGAATCTTCTCTGATAAAATATATACCTTGTTAAAACAGTAGTAGCTGTCAAAATAACATAGGCTGTAAGATAAGCGCCAGCTCCATACCTTGTCTTATTTGGAACCATCTGTAGTTCCACGTACGTGGATTTTGCCAACATCTGCAAACCACAGTAGGTCTCTGATTTTCATTCCAATACTAAGGGCTAAATCTTAGTTTGTAAGAATTATCTACACACTTGCTAATTTGACTCAATACATTTACTCTTATTTAACAATCAATAAAATGACCCTGAAGAACAGACTATATTTGTGAAGAACAGTAAATGGCACAGTAGATGGAATTAAGGCAATATAGCACTGAAAAAGGAAGAGCAATACTTTTGCATATTCAGCAGATAGTAGTGCTACAGGGCCCTGTAGCGGAAGGTAGCTAACATTATCCTTATAAAAACAACTGTTTTCAGTGTCTCTGTGTATCTCCGGTTCCCAGGATCTCATTATGCTCTACAAATATCTCTAGCTCCTTTTTAGCATGCGTTACAAAGGGCAGTGTATGTGATCACGCTGGTTTGTGTGCGTATGTTTCTATGCAAGTGCCCTACCTCAAAATTTTGAGGCTCTTGGCTGAAGTCAAATCTGACTGAGAGGTAGATGTCTCAGAAAATTAATTTCCTACCGTTTTAATTAAAGTAGGCATCTGGGTAGAAGTCAGAACCCCTACTGATACCCTCACCGAAAGGAAGGTTGCAGTGCGGACTCAACCCTTATTAAACACAAGAGAATCCACACAGAGGGAGACATTATGGATGCTCTTATCCTAAAGAAAACAACAGGCACATTCATCTTCTTAGATACCAGAGGATCCAAGCGCAAGATGCAAATGCTTAAGAAACTATACAGTGAGTCTGTGGCAAAGACAGGAATAGAAACATTGCCCCGCTCTTATTCCTATATTGGGCACGGTGGAGTGAAGTGTAAGCTTATCGGAGAGGGAGGAAAGAGAGACACAGGGGAAAACACAACACTGTGTGAAAATCAGTATGTGCAGTGAGTTGAAAATGCTGTAAACTTTGATTTTAAGGCCTGTAGCTATTTCTTGAATTAATCTTACTCAGGATAGAATAGGAAGGGTCTGAGCAAAATAATGTAAAAAATACTGACGGACTGGATAAAACGGTCTCTCGTGACTCCAGAAAATTTGCAAGCTCATTCCATCTGTGAAAAAATAAACTTACCCAGAGAATATATGTAAAACATATTGCAATGTATATAATGTCTCTATATTGTATGTTTTTTAAATGCAGTCACTGTATTCAAAATCTCTCTCTCCCTCCAAGAAGCGAAAGAAGGAAGCCTGGACAGACAGGTCTATATAAGAAAACAAAATCAGTTTCCTTCTCCCTCCCCTTTCATTCTCCTTGTCTTACTTCTTCCTTGTAAAACTACCTCATCCTAGACTCAGTGCTCACATATTTATAGCACATATTATGATTAAGAGGAGATCTGATTCAAAACTTAAAATTAAGCCTTTAATGGTTTACTGTGAGTGCATTCGGAGCTCCTGCCTCTGTCTAGGTCCCTGGTGTGCTAGCTGGCCGGGCAACTGAAGCAGGTTAAAACTCAGTGCTCAACAGGACATGCTATTTCAACCCGAGCCTCAGGGTGCCTCCTGGAAGGGCACCACAGTTCTCACGTCCTGTGCCGTCATGCTGCAGTCTGCTGGGGAGAATGAGCCTCCAGCAGGTTAATGACAGGGACGGCGCCGTGCCTGCAGGCTGCCTGCAGACCAATGCCAAGTCTCACTGACGTTACGTCGTCTCATGAAGACGGCAACTGTAGATTTCAGCCACATCTATCCAGTGCCAATCGTTACTGCCTTGCCAAACGAATGTAATACCAACACCGGTTAATTAAATAGTTCATTTAATTCTGATATCTTGCCCAAATGGGGGACAATTATTATAACAACTACATGAAGTAGTATCATTTAATGGAATGTGATCACACTGTGTAAAGATATATTGAGGTACTGGTAAAATGATGCTCTGAATAAGTTGTCTTCCTTGCAGTCTGAAAAACCATTGATAGTATGTGAATCAGACTAAACTGGGTTTTGTGATTACCTTTGCAGCTACTTTCGGGGACTGATTTTAAATGTCTTGGAAGAAAATGTCACTGAAGGCAATAACATTACATATGAAACCAATATGATGATCTGTCTATCCATCTATCCATCTCTGTATAGCTAAAGAATCTATCCAATTTTGTACATATATGTGTGTGTACACTTATCATCTTGGCTTTATATATTATATTCATGCTTTCAATGCCATGTGAGTTCTGTGAACTTGATCATATACTGAGACAGCTAATCTATTTGTATAGTGAATCCAGCATTTACTGTTGAAAATAAACGACCTTTTTATTACAGAGATATGGATTAGCTGTACCATAGAACTGGAAGTCACTGAATAATTCGTTGTTTCAGAAACTGTCTACACAAGTTAAAGAAAGAATAACTAAATCAGCAGCTAAGTATCAAAATCATGTTTAGTCTGTTCAGGCTTAACAGAGATAATTTGAAGGTGTGATGTCTAATACGGAGTCCACTGTAGCTCTTCACATCATTTGAAGTTAATATGGTTCTTAAAGTGATTTCACTATAAGTTGTTTAGTAAATCAGCTCTTGAGTTTGGAATACCTTTAAAGTTAAGTAAGGAAGAATAAAAGCATTGTAATATCTAACTAAATTACTTTTCTGGAAAAAGTGCCTGGCTTCTCTCCCAGACATAAAGGCCAGAGATGTCAAATTAACTTTTTGGAAAGGCCCTCCAAGCATCACTATATGATAGCTTATGAATACCAGTCTGTGGGGATGCTGTGATGCTTTCATATGATCTAATTTGGAAGACAACCCTATTCACAATTGGGATTACCTGTGTCAGGGTGCCAGGAGAACAGTAAGTACAGGTAAATGGCTTTCCCACAACACTTGCTGGTATCACAACGCAATGGGTACTCAGCAGTGAAGATGACGCTACCTCTTGTGTGTTTGGACCACTAAGAGGCTAAGCAGATTTCCTTGAGAGATAAAGGGAAGTTTCTTAATTTTTTTAGCAATCTTTAATGAAAGATACTATTTAAGGAATTTTAAATGTCAAAGAATAATTGCCATCAATTCTCCCTTGTTGCCATTTTGACAAAATCAAGACAGTATTTTATACCAGCTCAGCAAGAGATGATGTCTCTTCGCAGAAACTTTGCCAATCAGATCCTTTCCTGCCTTAATCAATAAGGTGTTTTATTGTAGTGTGGTTGACAAATTGACTGGGTGCAGGGTCTCTGCATTATCTGTGTATCTGTTTTATGTAATCTAAACAGAGTGGTTCTATGTTCTTCTACTGACTGGATCATTCAGGCTTTGCCTAAACTGAGCTGTAGGTGTATATTGCAGCATGCTCCAACATCTTCATCCAGACTGGGAACTTCATTAGAGCATGTCCTGGCTCCCTTCCCGCTGTTGTACCCAAGTTTCCTTCCCATGGATACCAGTGTGCCCAGGGAGTGACTGGGTTAGCACACACTGGAGTATCTCATTGAGGCAGGGTCAGGACATATCTAGGAAGTATATACAAGAATATCTGGACCTAAAAGTTTGGATATTTTTAGAGTTTTAGCGTGCAGACATTGTGGGCATTAGTCAGGGGCCTGATAATGGCTTCTAGCAGATATCGAGGCATTTGGTTGAGAGTCTACTGAGCTATCCCTTTCAATCCAATGTCTTGAGTAAACGCCTCTCATTGGGAATGCCTGGAGATGGCACTGTAGAATTATAATTTAAATACAGGTGCACTATTTTGACCCTCCAGGTCTTATACAAAAGCTGCATATTTTTGCTAACAGCCTAACCACTTCATCTGTAAGTGCTTTCAGATTTCTTGGGTATGCCACCTGGATGCGATGACTCTTACGCTTTTAAAATGATCGGATTGCTCGGATTTATCTCATAGCTACTCTTCAGTCTGAAAGAATGCTTTATTTCACTACTAGGAAAGATTAGGTCAAGAGTAGCTCTCTTCCCATCACGTTCTCCAGTTTAGAACTGAAGCAGAGAAGACAACATTGTCCTTCCTAGGACTGCCTAAATCTTGATTTGATTATTCCCTTTAACCTCTGGTGATACAGGAGACGCACAGATCCATTTAGGGCCATACCAACCCTTCTAATTCATTTCCTATCCTCTGTCTGTTGTAGTTTACTATTCCTGAGGCTGTTTTCAGTAGTTCGTTTTGGAGCTGGACCCCAGAGTTCAAAAGGACTGCACTTTGGCTTTGCTATTGCTGGGCATTCATCATTTAGCCACATTGGGTATGTGGCAAACTGCTTTCCTGGTATTCAGAGGTATACATCTGTTTGAATGTCTCTGTGGTTTCCTTAAGCAATAGCTAGCGCTAATGTAAGGATTCTGCCTCCTTCACTGTTCCCTTACTTGAGCATTTTTATTAGTTTTGTCATTTTATGGAATTCTACCATTTCAAATATAACTAATGTGATTAGCATATGACTACTCTAAATAATAGATACTGTAAATAACAAAAGAGTATAAGTGATATTTAAGTGATAAACTTTTTTTAAAAATAATAGGTAGATTTAAACACTCTTTTAAAAGATATAAAAATAAATATGTGAAGACTGAAGCAGTGTAGGAGGTCCAACCAACTGCCATTTGAACTGCAACTTTAATGTGAACAGCATGAAAGAGAACAACTAATTCAAAAGGGTTTGCTTTGCAAAGCAACATTTCATAGCTGTGCATTTAACCTGAGCTACCTTACTTCATATTACGGTAATTCAGCCCATTCTCCAGGGAAGTTCTGTGTTGATGTCACACTGATAAGCTCATCACATTGTTTTCTTTTATCAAGGTATTATTCCTTCCATTATTTTTCAGAACTAGCATAAGTGAGTTTCTTGGTTTTTCCCCCTTTGGTGTTCTCAGTGGCTTAGCTTTTATCAGCTCCCTCGTCTCATCCCTCGCCAGCACGGTTCTAGTTAGCTGCTTCCACCAAAGAAGCTCAGATCAGAGGACAGGGCTGGCAATGCATCACCCCTGGCCCGCTGCCCTGGACCTTCCTGGGGGGGTGCCTGTGACTGAACACTAGTATTTTTCATTCAGCACCTTCAAAGGCAAATACCTTTAGGCAGGTACCCTTCCCAACTCGGGCAGGGATGAAATGCCTAGTGTGACGTTTAGGTACAAGCCCAAAATCCAGAAGGTAAAACCAGAAGCTTTAATGTCCAGGCAGCCCTGGGACAGTGCTCTTGCCTATTCTGATCTTGAGCAGCATTCACTGGCAGCCACGAAGCACCCCTGTAAGGCAAGGCAGCATACAAGCTGACCAGGGTGATGTTGGGGTTGAGTTGGCTCCTGACACAGCCCATAATTTAGGAGGCAGAAAGGTGGTTTCAATGCAATCGTTGCCCTCTTAGACGTGAGCTGTATTTTTGAGTTGCACAGCACAAAAGCCAGCATTTTCTCTATTGAACAGCACAACATGTCCATCTATTTTATGACAGTGGCTGCCTTTTTCCAGAGAGGCAGGGCACAGTAAAAAGCTTTTTGATTTTGCTTTTTAAGCAGAAATGCAAAATACATTACATTGCTATAGTAATCAGTACCTACATTATTTTAACCAATGTTTAATCTCGATTAAAGTAATCAAGATAATAATAATGTGAAAACCAGTCTATAATAAAGTGTTGACTATTTCAAAATGCTACCTCTGTATACTTTAGGATACAAATGCTTCATTGACTGTCATTGCGTTTCTAAAACAAGCTTTAAAATTAAGATTAAAAAATGCAATCCATCATATGTTTCCAATAGAGGGCACACACAGCACTTTGCAGAATGAAAAATTTTTGAAATCTGCTCTTACTAACTGATGTGGCAGAATTATTGCCAAATCATATTCAGATTACTATAGAAATTAATAATTTGTGCTCCACTTCCAACAATAAGTTATCTCTCTGGTTTGCTTCAGCATATGTAAATTTTGATTATTCAGAAAAATCAGTGCGCGTTTTCCTTACTTTTTTGCCCACGTCCGCACAACATGTAAATAGTTTTTTGAGAGATGATGTGTGATATTTTCAAAGGGTAGACTGGAAATGGATTTTCTGTCTA